AGGAACTGAACCACAAGAGCAAATGTCGACTGTGCACTTTGGGTTTTTAAAGATATATTTACCGAGACCTTTTGTAGGCACCATGAGGGTTTCTGGCGACCAAGGGCGCCACGTTGGTGATCCCTGCGAACAAGCTTTGGATTCTGCAGGCTGTGGCCCAGGGAGGGTGGGTTCTGGTGGCAGTGGGATGCCAGAGCTTTATTTCCACTTAACAGCTGCCTCCTTTCCTTTCTGACAGGGAACCCATTTGGTGGAGGCCCCCTCCTCAATAACTATGCCCTGACCCTGCTGGTGCTTTTCTTCCTGCAGACACGCACCCCACCCATCCTACCTACGGTCGCCCACTTGAAGGAACTCTCAGGTACCTACCCTCCCACCCCAAAAAAACAAGCTGGGGTTCTGAACAGCTTTATTTATCGCTTAGCTAGATCCTGGTTTTGCCCTCGTCGTTATTTATCTTGTACAAATTGTTAACACCCACTCTGGGCTTCCTTGTGGGAGGAAAAGCAAGGTGCAAATATTGAACGGTATTTTCAGTCCCTGCAGCCGCTGGCTACACACAGACGTCTTTGGACCTGTCTGTTCTGGTGAGATCACCTGGAATGAGGACAGTGATTCATTTGATGCTGAAAGACACTTACCTGAGGAGGGAAGGGTTCAGGGTTCATTTTGTTGTTCGTTTTTTGAAATGTAAAAGATTAATAAACCTAAAGATTAATGAATGCACCCACACAAATGTGATGTTCCTGGCAATGCTTCTGGAAAGAGCGTACTCACTCTCCTCTGCTCCCTAGTGGAAGAGGAACACACTGTGGTGGACGGCTGGGACTGCAGCTTCCCCAAGGATTCTGCACGGCTGGAGCCCAGCGGGAACAAGGAAGATCTTTGTGAGTTGCTCTCAGGAGGTTAAAACCCAGATTAAAGTGCAAACTTTCCTGGTTATTCTCCTTTAAATGTGCAGATGGGAGTCTAGGACATTGGCCATAGCTCAGTGGGACAGTATCTGCTTTACATGCAGAAGAAGGCTCCCCTTCAATCTCCAGGTTGGGCTAGGAATGTCTCGTGCCTAAAGTCCTGCTGCCAGTCCATGTGGACAGGACTGAGTTAAACGGGTGGTCTGCCTCTCCATAAGGCAGCTCCCTTTTTAAATCTTCACTTTATTTAGAACAGTGGTTCCAAAACTTGGGTCTCCAGCTGTTTTTGGACTACAACTCCCATCATCCCTAGATAGCAAGACCGGTGGTGAGGGATGATGGGAATAGTAGTCCAAAAGCTGCTGGAGACCCAAGTTTGGAAAACACTTATTTGGAACCATGAGGGCTGGAATCCTTATTTTTAGGGGGAGGGGAGCAGCTGGTGGTGAAGCACCTGCGTTGACTGCAGAAGGTTCCAGGCTGAATCCCAGGCATCTCCAGGTAGGACTGGAGAAAGATTCCTGGTAGAGCTGGGATGAGATTCCCTGCTTTGAAACTGACTGCTGCCTGTCAGTGCAGACAAGACTGGTGCAAGAGGGACCAGTGGTTTGACTTAGTATAAGGGAGCTTCCTATGTGATGGAAGCACTGAATTGCTCTTGGTAGTCCTTTGTGCAAAACCTCCCTCGCATCTCCATGGCTCACTGGCTGCCGGCCTCTTACTTTCCAGGCTCTCTCCTGTCTGAGTTCTTCCGCGTCTTCGAGGACTATGACTTTGCTGGCTGTGTGATCTCGCTGTGGGAGGGCCGCCCGCTGCCCCTGCCCAGCTTCCTGTCCTCCTCTGAAGCGGGCAGCAAGCTGAAGCTGGGGCCCTTCAACCTCCAGGACCCCTTTGAGCAGAGCCACAACGTCGCCGCCAACGTCAACGAGAAGACGGCGCTGCGGTTCCAGCACTGCTGTTGCAACGCAGCCAAGTACTGCCGCAGCCTGCAGTACCAGCGGAAGTCCAGCAAGGGCAAGATCTGGGGGCTCGTCCGCCTGTTTCAGCCGGGCGCCACCGAAGCTCCAGTTGCTGAGAACTTTGTCATAGGCCTTCCCCTATCAATGGCGGTGCCGCCTGCTCAAGCCCATGAGCTTCTGGGCCAGGCCGGGGACTTCCATCTACTTTGGTTCCAGAAGGTCTGTGCTAGTGTAGCCTTTGTCTTAAGGGACATGCTCAAATGTAGCTGTGTGGAGGTGGGGCAGGGGCTTGGGGAGGAGCAGGAAGTCTCTGAGGTGAAACAGGAAGAGGAGGAGTTAGAAGCAAAGACTCAGCAGCTGTCAGTAGGGTCCAAGCGCCCTCTAGACGAGGGAGGGAGCAATGTCTCTCTGCCCGCTAAAAGGCTGCGAGTTGATGATTTGCTCCCTGGTGAGGAGAGCATGACCTGGAACTGCGCCGTCTGGCATCGCGTGTGGCTGGGCCGTCGCCGCATCCGGCGGCAGCTCCAGGGGCCGGAGCCCGAAACCCAGCAGCAAAAGGCCAACTCCTTGGAGCTGGAAGCAAAAGTGTCCGAGGCCATTTCCCAGCAGGAGTGCGAAGCAAGGCCCACAGACCCTCTCTTCCAGTTCACAGTTTGTGCCCAGGCCAGCAGGAGTGGCACTTCCCGCGAGCAAGACACACGCATCAGCCTGAGATTCTCAACAGACCCTGAGCAAGCGTCCGTCTTCCAGGAGTTCTTCCACTTCCTGCAAGGTTTTTTGCCCCGAATGGTGGAGCAGCACCTGGTTAGCAAGGCCTGAGTCCCCCGAGAGAGGGCATCAAGCTATGTATTCGTGAACAGTTACAGATTTGTGTGTATTTATTTTTGCATATTTTTCTTACTGCCAATGTGAATATGAAAACATGGCCAAAACCCATTTCCACATCTCTCTTTATTTCATTTATTCTTATCCTGCCTCAAAGTGACAAGAGAAGGATCACAGATTTAACCTCTGTGTCTTCGTTTGTGTTTTTACAGCCTGGTAGCCAAGGGTGGGGAACCGCTAGCCTGCACACCAAATTTAGCCCACGAAACATCCCCTAGTGGCCCACAAGGCCATTTTCCCCAGGTCATGGCCACCCACCCCATACCTGGTGTCATAAAAGGTAAAGATAAAGGGACCCTTGACCATTAGGTCCAGTCGTGGCCGACTCTGGGGTTGCGGCGCTCATCTTGTTTTATTGGCCGAGGGAGCCAGCGTACAGCTTCCAAGTCATGTGGCCAGCATGACTATGCCGCTTCTGGCGAACCAGAGCAGCGCACAGAAACACTGTTTACCTTCCCCCCAGAGCGGTACCTATTTATCTACTTGCACTTTGATGTGCTTTCGAACTGCTAGGTTGGCAGGAGCAGGGACAGAGCAATGGGAGCTCACCCCATCGCAGGGATTCGAACTGCCGACCTGATCGGCAAGTCCTAGGCTCTGTGGTTTAACCCCGTTACCTGATGTCATATGTAGCTTCAAAGAAACAATTGCTGCCCTGAGGCATGTTCCCACCTTGGTCTGGGAAAGGAAAGTGGTTGGCATCAAAACTGCTGCTAAAACGGGGACCCTCCCATTTTAACAATTGTTTCAGTAGAAACGGCTTTCCTCCCCTGGAGCAAGTGTCAAAGAGCAGCACAGAGGTCCTGTCTGAAAGCCCTTCTGCAAACAGTTCACTCAATCTCCAAGTTAAGAACTGCAGTTCCGGTGAACCCACTGAGCCTTGGGTGGTGGCCATCTGGGGCCTTTTGTACCACTGACTCACCGCCAGGCAATACTCTTACTTATGCAGCATGTCAGGTTCTAGTTGGGGAAGTCACCACCTTTATGACCAAACTCATTTCCTAGTGATTTTCAGTCAGTGGTAGAATGCCAAATCCTTTTTGGTGGGGGTCCTGGGCTTTAAAGGGCTCAGGGCTGCATCTAATTCAGTACCATTTTTGATTGCGCAAATAAACTCTGGTGGTGATTCTATTTCCACTGTCCCATCACCTGTGTGATAAGTAGTTTAATCTCAAAAACTCTGAATTGTCCTGACTTGGTCAATTTCTTGATAGTCTCTGATTGGCCTGGCAGCCATTAGCAACATATTTGCATAAACATATCTACTTTGCTGTAATGCTGTGTGGTTCTGCCTTTGCACAGGAGATAAAAAGATGGATTTCCTTGTATGAAACTTACTGCAAGCTTTGACTTGCTTCCCAATAATTTTTCCAGGGGAAGCAAAATGTTTTCAGATGATGAGTTTGGGGCGAAACAGCACACCAAAAAGAGGAGGAATCGCAAACTTGTTCGGAAATCCTTTGTATACACGCTCCGGGCAAGGGAAGAAATAGAATTCTGCACATGCGCGGGGGCCGTTCTCGTTATCACTAGTACTACACGTGCTCCAGAGAGTGCCTGAAGGAGAAAGACTCGAGGTTCTGCAGCTCCATTCTTCTCTCCCCCACCCCCCGCCGATCGAGGCCAGTGCGCATGCGGAATCCCTGCGTCCTTTGTTTTACACGTGCTTGATGTTTTCCTATTGCGCTTGCGCAGTCCTCTTCCCGCCCTGCCCTTTCGTAATATGTCCTAGAGACAATAAGGTCATCTGAAAAATTAGAGCGACACACAAAGGCTCTACTTCCGGTATCAATTGAAAAGGAGATGAAGATGACCATTTTAAAGGGGGGGGGCAGTAACACGGTTCTATACCGTCATATCTCCATGGTAAAAGCCCCTTAATTCTCCGCTCCAGAAGTTGTGTCGTGCAGACAGGAAAAGAGTATGAAAAATCCGTAATACTATTATCTCTCGAAAATAGTACTGACTATCGTAGGGATAGAAAGAAGGCCATAGAGCTCTCTCTTTTCTATCTCTATGGTCACGGTCGTCTTCAAGCCGTTGTAAAAGAGGGCGCATGCGTTCTAACGTCTCAATGCACGCGCTAAACGGGCGAATTTGTAAAAAGCGACGGCCATTGGGCAGAAAGGGAAGGCGGGGAAGAGTTCCCGGCATGCTCCGCGGCTACTGACTATTTAACCCTTCAGCGGGCGGGCACTGTTTCTCTATCTAAGGCAGTCCTGCTGCAAGGTAAGTAAAGGGCGTGGGAGGGAGAGTTATTGCTTCTTAATCCGGTGCCATCCGCGATTTGTGGAGGGTTACAGGCCTGCGAATCCCACTAAGGGGCTTCTGTACTCTTTCCCTCATCTTTGGGTGTGAATATTGAGTAGCCCTTGAGCGTTTTTGTTGAGAAAGGATGCGGTCGACGGGCCGCGTATGACCCTGCAAGCTCGTGCAACGCTTAATTGGGCGCAAGGCCCTTGGATCTCTTGTGGGACTTACTTCTGAGTAAGCATTCGGCCAGTTCTATATAAGAGGTGGCTGAAATACAAATGAAGGCTACTTCATTTGCCATTTAACGGCTGGGTGTAATCGATACTTGATTTGATTTCATTTTTTTATTGCTTTTCATAAAATATCTCGCAGTGATTCCTGATGCCTGGAATAGGTAGGCTTTTGTATGTGCCTGTGGACGCTTAGAAACCCTACCGACCTGGATGCCTATCAGAAAATGTGAACACGGGCCTGTGTGCCCATCAAGCATTTTTGCATTATTTATAATACTTCAAAAAAAAAGTTTACATTCCATTCATCAACCGCAAGGCTCCCAGGCTACAGTGTTTTGAGCTAATTTTTACAGATTTATGCAGCAAAGGCCATGAAGCATAAATATGATGAAGGCTTACAGCAGTCTAACTTCTTATTATGGATCTGATCCAGCTTGTGTAATACTTTCTGTGCTGTTATTCTATTCTCTATTATTCAGAAAATAATAATTGTTAGGAATCCAATGATTTTTCATGGTGTAGCTCTATGCTGCGTTAAAGAAATCTGAGCCTGGTGCAATATGCTTCTGAGAAACTATGCATAGGTTTGGGCTTCATTTCTCCATAACTTTTAAGGGTCTCCTCTAGATCTTTCTGATTAAAGTTGGTCACTGGAAATCGAAACCCAAATCACTCTCAGAGCTACCCTTCACTGAGTACTCTGGGGATTAATTGATAAACCACTTCAGGAATTGTAGCTCTGTGGGAGGAATAGGGGTCACCTAACAAGTCTTAGCACCCTTAACAAACTACAGTTCCCAGGATTCTCTGGGGAAAACCATGACTGTTTAAAGTGGTAGAATGCATAGCATTGGTGGGACCCTAGAATTGGCAGTATTGTAAGCCATCTGCTCCAACCCACCACATCAAATCCATAGTGAGGGCATTCCCTAACAGACTACCTTTGCTTAAAAGCTTTTGAGATCAAGTATGGTTTTGGTATAAATTCCCCAGCCATAAGCTAGCGCCCCCTCTGTATACTGAATGTCTTTCTCTGATGAAACTACACAGACCTGTACTGAAAAGTTCTGTGAGGACATTGTTTTGTTTCTGAGAATGGACTCCTGGCTGCCAAAGTCAGTTACTACTTTCTAAGATTATATCACTTGGAAATGTCTAGCTTATAATCAGCTTTTGGCTTTTTCTCCCTCCAGACCTGAATTTGCAAGATCATGTGCGACTGTGCTTTCCAGGTGAGGTGGAAATCAAATGTGTTTAAGCTGTTCTTTGTTATCTACTTGGAAAGATGAGCAGTTGTTGGGCAATTGACGTTTGGTACATGGGAGGTTTTTAAAATATAATATGCTGTGTATTTACATTGATGTCCAAACATAAAACGAAAATGTCCTATATGAGGTGTACTGTATTTGAATACAATGTTTTCGAGTTTAGAAGTTAGTTCTAACCATGGTCTAGCATGTTGCAGAGGACAATTGGGATACAACTCTGCAATGTTTTTGATCCTTCAATTCATTTCTTGCTGGGTGGCTGTGTATGTGTTTGAACAGACCCATAGAGACCACTTGTTCTTTCTGAAAACCTTAGAATGCTATACTTGGTATCATATTTAAAACTTTACCGCATAGCTCAATCTTGGGTGCCCTTTCTAGCCATTGTTACAAGGGCATCAAGTGCTACAGAGATGAAATCCACGAACTCTCTCTTTCTGAGGCTTCAGTGGAGAAAACCTTTACCAGATTCTGAGTGGCACTAGCCCTGAGCATCAGTGTGGGAGATGGAAGTAGATTTTGCCAAAGTGTCCTGACAAAATTGTTCTATGTCCGAGACACAAAGACCATGTGGTCAAGTGTGCAGAATCTCTTCCTCATACGGACCTTTGGTATAGCAGCATTAGTGGTTGAAGGCAGTGTGGTTTTTATTTTATTTTTTGATATATATTTTTCATATTCCCCCATTCTACAGCTGCAAGAGTCATCAGCTATGTGTCTGTACCACATGTAAGTATCTATTTTAAAGTGCATTAAGGACATGCTCAAAGGAGCTGTAATTAAAAACAAAATACTCCATTCACCACCACTTCTGTAACTGCCACTTTGGCTACAGTGCTCATTGAATAACATGACCAGCTGGATAATGCAGAAGCCAAAACATTTTCCTTAAATTTAAGATATTTCTGTTTATCTAGTCACTGTAATTTTTTGTGATTTGCTCTCAGATCCTGAGCAAGGGGAACAAAACCTGGCCCTCTTGCATTGTATGTTTACATGCACAGTATACTTGCATGCCATTTAGAGAACTAGTCCATTTGAGAAGGAGCAAAGTAGTCTTGTTGCAGCCGGTGTGGCAAATTTCTAGTAGGAGGGGGCAGAAGGAGTTCTCTGGACAAATCCTCTGGGTGTACTTCAAAAATAGAAAGCTTCCAGCACACCCTACCAGCTGTTTTGAGCTCCTTTTTGCTGCCTTACTGTGTTCAGTGATGTTAAAATTGACAAGCATATATCTGATGTCTAGTGATGTCAGCTTCCTGTCTGAGAACACAAGACCTTCCAGCTTGCTGAGGAAGGAAGGAATGAATGAATGGGTATACAAAATAAAACAAAATGCTTCTTATTTCCTTAATTACAGGGTGCATATTCCTGAACAAGGAGCAGCTGTGTGGAAAACCCTTAAGAGGTATATTTGAGGACCAGTGCATCTGAATGATGGGGAGGTGAGACCTTTGTGCGCTGGGTGTGTTTTAGTTCTAGGTGTGTTTCAATCGTTTGTGCTTGACTTGTTTAGTTTGAAATGATGACCTACGTTGATGGACGACATTTAGTCTCATGGCAATAGAGTTACCAAAGCCCTGATCAAACTGCTGCTCCTCCGCGTAGCAAATGCATTCTGTCTTGAGTTTCCTTTTACTGAACAAGTTCTTATGTCCTACACAGGTACAAGGACCCTGGCCCAAAAAAAAGTGAGTATTGGAGGTACAGCTCATTTTTAAATTTATGGACTGTTTAATATAGGGGTTGGGATGTTGTTAGAGTCCCAGCTTCCATCAGCCCTGGCCAGCATTAGCAAGGATTTTGGGAGTTGTAGTTGAGCAACATCTGGAGGACCTGACATGTTCCTAACCTCTGGGTTAGTGTATTGTTGCTCTTAATTCTGTATTACCACCCAACTCGCACCTGCTGTCTCCCCAGTGATGAGAGACTTTTACCGCCCCAGTCTGATTTCTTGTGACTGAGTGGTCCTTTCTGAGGCTTAAGAGCTCAGCAGGACTTGGGTGAGGTTGGATGGTCATAGCTGCAAATCAGGGCTTAATAATAATCAGTTTCTCTTCCTTTCCAGGATCTGCTGTTTCTTTCAAACAGCTGAATGGAGCAGTTAATTTAAAAGATGGTGCTTCCAACAGGTATATTTTTTTTCTTTGCAATCAAACAGCCACATGCTAGCAAGAATAAGATCTAGGAATCTCAAACCTTAAGCATCACTCTGGTCCCAATGAAGAAATCCTATTGCGTCTTATCTTCTGTTTTGGCGCCAGAACCTGCAAAGGTTGAACCCACTGGGGCCAGCAGAGGGGAAAGATGAAACTCTGCTCCAGAAGGAACTGTCTGATGGGACTTAGGTCTGATGAGGAAGGGCTGTAGATACAGTTAATCTTTATATGCATTTATATACATAGATGACTTTTGTTTCCTTCAGAATGCAGGACATACGCCAGAGAGCCAGCCCTTGTGGACTGGACAGCTTGTCCTCCTGTCTCCAACGGAAGAAAAGTGAGTTTGCATATAGCGCCAACCTTGCTTTTAACTTCTCTGCTAATAGTCAGTTCACCCATCCCCAGTTCCCACTGACATGATGATCTCACTTGGAATCTCGTTCGGCTGAATTTTGCTGTTGAGAAGCGGAATCTGAGCATCAGTTGGGAGAGTGACTAGGCTGGAGGTGGTGGTAGTTGCTGTATCAAAACTTGCACCTCGCTGCCTGGCTAAGTAATGTCCCAGCCCTTACAATTTTGCTCCAGTTTTTAAGTTGATGGGATTTCTTTAAATTTGAATATTCCTTCTTGTGGACTAGAGGTCCTGCTTGACAATTTGTTTCTTCTGGATTTCCCCCCTAAATGGCAAAACCATCTTTCTTGCAGAATGGTGAACCTGAATTGGGGGCCCTCCCTCCCTTCCTGGTGGAGATTTAGCAGGTAAAGTTTATCTGATCAGTAAAATGGTAGCATATGTGAAAAGCTTAAAAAACAATTTTATTCATTTCTGCTTGGAAGTCCAGTGGGGCTTACAGCCATGTAAGTATATAGGATTGAAACCTTCGAATATCTGGCTGTCCAGATTACAGCTCTCTCTGGGGGATTCCAGAAGCCCTGCACACTGTAACTTTCCAGTATGCATAAAAAAGAGGACTCCCATAAAAGCTAGGAAAGATTGAGCAGTTAGTTGCCTGCAGTTTTAATGATGAGTTTCACTAGCTCACTTTGATAATCTATAAAACCATGAAAATGTTTGAACAGCTGAAAAACTGCAAAGAAACAAATTAGGTAGACTAAGCAAGATTTTTGGGCCTTGGGTCTGATTGTGTATGTGTTTTCCCCCTCCTTGTAGATGACTCCCTGAAGCCAACTACATTCCTAAGCTAGCTGCCAGACCACTGGTCCATCCATCTCTGCATTGTCTACATGAACTGGCAGCAGATGCAAAGAGGGTAAGTGCTTGCCCTCCACAGTTTGGGGGGGGGGTAGAGAGAGAGAGGGCACTCCCTCCTCTTCCCAGGTTGGCTCCAATGATGAGATTGTTACCGCCCCAGTCTGATTTCTGTGACTGAGTGGTTCCTTCTGAGCCTAGGAGCATGGCAGCGACATTTGTGTAAGAGATGGGAGATGACAGTTGCTCTTTGACTTCATTATACTTAACATCTCTGTTTTTTCCTTTTCATAGAAGAGCTCAAATTGGGGCTCCTGCTGGTCTCTCCAGTAACTGGTAGCTTCCTTAGTTGTGATATTGCTGCAGCATTGATTCCTTCCAGCTCACTTCACCCAGCCTGTACAAGATCACCCAGCCTTCTGCATCCAACAGGTGAGTTTTAAAAACTGACTGCTCTAAGAGAACAGTAGGGTAGGCAAGTGGGGGGAGAACCAGGGTTGATGGGAGCTACAGTTGAGCAACATTTGAACAGGCCACAGGTTCTCCAACTCCTGGGGGTTAGGGGAAGGATTGGAGTATTACATAGTCCCAGAACATGAGCTTTTGGTATAGTGGCGTGGGGAGGAGTCCCAATGAGGAGATAAGGCAACGTTTCTTACCATCTGTCTTGGCTCCAGAACCTGCAAAGGTTGAACCCACTGGAGCTGGCAGAGTGGAGAAGAGGAAATGCTACTCCAGAAGGAGCTGTCTGATGGGATTCATGGGAGAAGCACAGTGGTTGTGTATGGTTTTGATTTGTCACCTATAGTAACTCATCTTTGCTATCTTTGTTTTCTTTCTCCCTCCTGCCCCGCTCCCCTTCATACACAGGCATTCACAATTGCTGGAGACTGTCCTCAAGATGATCAGCAAGCTGTCAGTGCTGTCGATTGATTTCCCCCCTGCCCCGCCCCAAGTGCTAAAGCAATCAATCCAATGTTATTGCTTGTAGCCAATGGCCATTACAATACAATGTGAACACATTGCACAGCTGCAAAATGACAGAGTTTCCTGAAAAACATATGTAGCTTATTTATGCTTTGTGGTGGCTTTCAATTTGTGTGTAATCAATTTGTAAACTACTTTGCTTTTTAAGCAAAAACTAAATTTCACAGAAATGCATTGTGGGCAGTACTGAATAAATTACATATGTGTGACACATTGCCTTTTGTGGTGTTTTTTGGTGTCGTGGGTAAAGGGTTGTCTGTGGCAAAGTTGAGGAGTGGCTATTTCTTTACCCCACAATATATGGGGCTCTTCAGTATCCATTCCAGTAACTTGCAAGTGGCTTGTCTTGTTTCTTCATATGTATTTTCCTGAAATTGGCACTCTTTGCGAACGCCATGGAGGGAGAGCTGGGTATGATGATTGATTGTTGTTGTTTAGTCGTGTCCGACTCTTTGTGACCCCATGGACCAGAGCACGCCAGGCACTCCTGTCTTCCACCGCCTCCCGCAGTTTGGTCAGGCTCATGTTCGTAGCTGTAGTTTGACAGCACTGACATGTTTGTGATGATTGATACTTAGGTATAAAGTTAATCTGGTAAAAGGTTTCTTTTCCTTCTACAAGCCAAGGGAAAACTCTTGACAGTTACACAGTGCCATCTACTGCATCTGTAATGAATAACACCAATTCACAATGTCAAGCCACTCAGTTCAGTGGATGATGAGAGCTCATAAGCTGTCAAGTTGTGTTTCCAGACACCCATATTTGTTGAAAAGCCTTAGCCTCTTGAGACATTTCTAAGAATGTTCCCCACCACTTGTTCCTGCAAAGGACAGCAAGTAATTGTTAGCATGTTATTGAGATCAGGATGTAAGCAAAAAACAGGAACTGGCAGGAAGACATTTTGGGGAGACAGAAAATCATTCATGCCTGCATAACTTCCATTTCGGTGTATCTGAATTGTACATGCACACGAAAGCTTATAGTTAGAACAAACTTAGTTGGTCTCTAATGTGCCACTGGACAATTATTTATTTTGCCTAAGGTAGTGTCAATGACTTTAAGCTGTGAAACTTCCCTGTAAAACTGGTGTACGTCCTTTCTATGACTTATTTCTGATATATGGCATGCTCTTGTTGGGAGGACTGCAGTGAAATTGCCTGTGGATCAAAAGGTCTTAAAAAGTATTATATCCTATTAATAAAGATCAGGCTTGCCAGCTGCCTTGCTTCCATATACAATACTCTGGTTGGCCTCTGCTTCTCTCGACCAATAAGAGACCTTCCCGAGGGACTATATGGACTTAGAAATTTTTCTTCTACCCTCAGTGCTGTACAATGCATTTGGTAGCTGGGCGATACATAAACCTGGTTCTCGTGGTGCATAAGCCTTTTGAGCTGCTGAAGTTACTTAGCTAGAAGGCTCTTTCTGGTGGCTGTTACATCAGCCCAGTGGGTATCAACAAATGTCAAGTTGATTTCATGGAGTCATTGACAGTATCCCTCACTCATGTCTGCTTTTTGGTCTCCCTCCTTCCCTGCTTCAGCTTCTGCCCTTGATTTCTTTCTGCCGCAGACTCCCAGCTCACAAAGCCCTATTACCTCCTGACACCACTTCTCAGTCTTCTCCCTCTGACCACTACTCCCTGGCCACTGAGCCTTCCCTTAGGGGTTCCCCAGTCCTTTGCATCCAACAAAGGTGCCAAGTTGCCTCCAAGATTGAAGGGGGGCTTGTGTATGTGTGAGCACTTTGGAGGAGCCAGCCGCTGAAACTACCACACCGGCTCCCTCAACACTGAGGGGCCTGGCCCCCTTCCAACAAATACTGAGGGGGCTTAAGACACCTCACCCCCTTGAGTTGGCACGCCTGGCGTCCAGCCCGTCCCTGGCAGTTTACGTCTGTAAAATAAGCTTTCTACACACACTATCCTTCCAGACAAGTGAAAGCATGATCAGAGTTCGAGGTCACGTTCCTGCCCAACGAAAACAGGAAGGTGGGAAGCAGGGCCAGGGAGGGTTGTGGCTTGAGAAGAGCTTGTACCACTGGGGGAGGGATAAGACCTGATAATGAGTCCCAAGGCGTCATGTCTGGGTCTGGGTTGAGGTTCCCTATCTCCTTTCTGTGCTGAAAAGGACCGCATGAAAGATGTTTATTCTGTCTTTTTGCCACTGAGTCATGCGGATGAACAGCACGGCCTGCAGCAGATTTGGGGTGAAAAGGCAGCAGCAGCAACAACAAAAATCATATACTGTGTAGTTTGTTGCTAATTTTTACTGACAGAGCAAGGGAGAGTGTGGGGTTTTCACAAAGTCACTTGGCTGGCTTTGGGTGCCAGATGCTTTGACTTGCAAATTACAGTGGTACTTCTGGTTACGAACTTTTTTTGTTCTGGAGGTCTGTTCTTAACCTGAAACTGTTCTTAACCTGAGGTACCACTTTAGCTATTGGGGCCTCACACCACAACCACACAATTTTGGTCTCATCCTGAGGTAAAGTTTATAACCTGAGGTACTGGGTTAGTGGAGTCTGTAACCCAAAGTGTTTGCAACCCAAGGTACCACTGTATGTAGCGATGGGATCTGGTGAGAATTATTTGCCAGACATCCCTGCTTGGGCTTTGTTGTTTAGTCGTTTAGTCATGTGTGACCCCATGGACCTGAGCACGCCAGGCACTCCTGTCTTCCACTGCCTCCCGCAGTTTGGTCAAACTCATGCTGGTAACCTCGAAAACACTATCCAACCATCTCGTCCTCTGTCGCCCCCTTCTCCTTGTGCCCTCCATCTTTCCCAACATCAGGGTCTTTTCCAGGGAGTCTTCTCTTCTCATGAGGTGGCCAAAGTATTGGAGCCTCAGCTTCAGGATCTGTCCTTCCAGTGAGCACTCAGGGCTGATTTCCTTCAGAATGGATAGGTTTGATCTTCTTGCAGCCCATGGGACTCTCAAGAGTCGCCTCCAGCACCATAATTCAAAAGCATCAATTCTTCAGTGATCAGAAATTATTCTGGTTTTACTACACTGACTGGCAGCAGCTCTCCTGAGTTTCAGGCATGAAATATTTCACAGCGCTACCTGGATGTGCCAGGGATTGACATGCATGCCAGAAATTTGCTTGGTTTCACATAGGACATTTCCAGCCCTTAAGAACATGAGGAAAGCCTGCTGGATCAGGCCTATGACCCATCTAGTCCAGCATCCTGTTCTCACAGTGACTGGCCATATGCCTGTGGGAAACCCACAAGGAGGACCCAAGCACAAGACCCAGCAACTGGTTTTCAGAAGTATTACTGTATTACTGTGGGGCAAAGCACAACCATTGTGGCTGGTAGATACTGATAGGCCCCTCTTCTCAATGATATTGGTGTCCATCAGGAATGAGTCACACAGTTTGACTCTGCGCTGCAGGCAGACGCCTCTGCCTTCTTGCATGCAAGGTCGATTCTTTATCATCGTGTCTGGCTCCTCAAGGCCTTCATCAAGAAACATGCCTCCTGAGTTGTTGTTCTGGGCACCGTCCCAGAGATCAGCAGGGCAAAGGAAGCCGCTCAGGCTTCGGCGGCAAATCCAGACCTCGCCCCGGCCTCTGGCATTCCAAGGCCTCTTCTAAAAGCGTCCCTTGGCAGTTGTTATTCTGGGCACCCACCCAGCAGCTTCGCAGGGGCGAAGGAATCCACACAGCCTTCGGCAGCAAGTCCAGGCATGCCGCCGGATCCAGCCCCTCGTTAGCCTGCCCCCTTCTTCTCTGTCTCTCGGCAGCGGGAACCTTGGTCCTGGCACCGCCCCACAGCAGGCCTCGGCCCCCCTGAAGCGTGCGATGGGTCATCAATGGCTGGCTTTGGCTCTGATACTGGCTGCCGCAACTGCTCCCAACCGCACGGCAGGCAACGTGCCTGAGTCAGAGGTCCCGGACGCACCCTGCCCTCAGGAAGAGAACCCGGAAGCACCGTCGGAAGAGCCGCACGTGGCGCCCAGGTTCAGCACATGCATGCTGCAGTGCGCTGCGCAAGCGATGCTCGGGATGGTTGGCGCCAAGAGCTCCGTCTCCTTGAAGCTCAACGAAGGCAGGGAAGGTAAGGGAGGTGGACGGCCACCCAAAGCGAAGCTGCCATGCCTGCCCTGGAATCCCAGCTGCGTAGCCAATCGAGCGGCAGCAGGGAGGGCTCCACAGGCTCCACCCCAGGGTGGCTTCCCTGCTCTGCTTGCAGCTGCTGGGCGTCACAGGAGCTGCAAGGCCTCTGAGTGCTGTGGGGAGGGCGGGGGAAGAGGCAGGGGGGGTCACTTTTGCACCCCACCCCCGAAAAAATATATTGCGGGGAAAAGGATGCTGATTTCCATAATCTTTGTGTGCGTTAATTTATATGTTGAAATGCAAAGGTGTAAATAATTATAGGAGACAACCAGGGCTTTTCCCCCAGCAGGAACTTGACAGAACTCAGTTGGCGCCATTGCCATTCTAAGAGAACGAGGGAGGTGTTTGTGGTGAGTTCCAGCACCTCTTTTTCTAGGAAAATAGCACTGGCGACAACCATTTTACGTGCGTTCAATATGTGCACGACTGCACACATGCGCATCGCCAAGAACCTGGAAGTGGCATGCAAAGGGGGGGGGGGGGAATGGCTGCTGAAAGAGTACAAAAATGGCATGGAAACAGCGCCTAGCAATCCCATAAGCCTTTGCAAGTACAATCCCAGAAGTCTTTGCACCGACCGTTGAGGCCTGTGGAGAGTTGGTGTTTGAGCAAGGAGGTTTTGAGGGTGTTTTCAGGCTTTCAAGGGTGTTCCCAACACATGCGATTTCACTTAATTGTGCAGTGCCTTGGTACGTAACCCCCTGCGTAAATGGGGAGTTGCGTGTACAGTAATTTAAATACCATACTGCTTTTTTCTGGCTGTGTACACATGGTTCCTCTTCCCCTGGGAACAGTAGTAGTTTGTTAAGAGTGCTAGGAATTGTGTGAACTACAATTCCCAGGATTCTTAGGGGGAATGTCAAATGCTTTAAATGTGCCTTAAATGTATGGTGTGTTCACAGCCATAGAGAGGAAGATGGAGATCAGTCTGTGTGCCTCCTCCATCTGCTGCTCAGGTGTAAGGGCTGATGGGGGGCATAGGTAGGCCTTACCCTTCCCACGACATGCAATATGGAGCTAATATGGGCCTACTTTACAGGGTTGCTGTAAGGATAGCCAAGGTAGTGCACGGGGACTGCTTTGAAAGCAAGAAGACACAGGAAGATGCTTTATACTGAATCAGACCACTGGCCTGCTTTTCTCAGTACGGTCTACACAGACTGGCTGCAGTACCTCCAGGGTTTTGAGCAGGGTTCTCTCTCAGCACTATCTGGCGGCGATACAGATTGAACCTGGGACCTTCTGCATGCAAAGCATATGCTCTACCACTTTTGCTGCCTTCTGGTTTTGCAAAAAAACAGAGCAACTGTTAAGATGAAGGACCTGGAACTCCAAACTATATAGCCATTGAACTGTGCAGGGTTTGTGGGTTATTTTAAAAATATATGTTTGCAGGCCTGTCTTAAAGAGGCTTTGCTATCTTGCTCCTCTGCCTGACAGCTACTGCCCTGATGGACTCTGGAGGACAGAAGTGTTGGCAATCTGATTTCAGGCAATTTGCCCGCGATTACCAGTTGATGGGAATCACAAGCAGGGAAAACATTCTTGCACTCAAGCCCTGCTAGTGGGCTTCCCAAACGTACCTGTGAGATTGGGGCCTAATCCAGCAGGACTCTGAATACCAGCTGCTGGGACTTGCTAGCAGCCAGAGCATTGTTGCACCCAAGTCCTGCTTCCCACTGGGGCATCCAGTTGGCCACTGTGAGAAAAGGATGCTGGACTCGATGAAACTTTGGTCTGATCCAGGGTCGTGGGTTCAAGTCCCATATTGGGCAAAAGATTCCTGCATTGCAAGGGGTTGGACTAGATGACCCACGTGGTTCTATGTCGTAGGGCTCTGCCTAGATTGTTGCTGCTCAATTATTTGATTTCATATCCACCCCTTCACCTGAAGACACCAGGGAAGGTTACCGCAACTTAAAATTCAATATTCAAAATCGTTTAAAACAAAGTACAGTGGTACCTCGGGTTACATATGCTTCAGGTTACAGACTCCGCTAACCCAAAAATAGTGCTTCAGGTTAAGAACTTTGCTTCAGGATGAGAACAGAAATTGTGCTCCGGCGGTGCGGCGGCAGCAGGAGGCCCCATTAGCTAAAGTGGTGCTTCAGGTTAAGAACAGTTTCAGGTTGAGAACGGACCTCCAGAACGAATTAAGTACTTAACCCGAGGTACCACTGTACAATCACATGAATTACAATCACAGGCACAGGGCGGGTTGAAAGACCTGGGCAAATGTTGTTCCCAGAAGCACCTCATGGTCACTGACACACTCCTTCAGCTGGTAAAGGATGCTGAGGCCTATTCTTCTGGAGGGATGCTAACAATGCCCCCCCCCTTTGTTCTCTTTAACAGGTGAAGACTACGAATTTTGCTGGATGCTGCATCTTCGCTGCCAGAAGGGAGAGAGACTCACCAAAGCCTTTGTTCTCCTGAACCTGGAGCAGCCCCCAGGGGGAGGCCAGCCGCCTCCCTACAGGCTCCTCCTCACCACCCCTCCCTCCCTACGCCAGTACCTGCGAGCCCGCCAAGGGAACCGACGTGCAATGTTGAGCAGGGAAGCCTGCGGTGTCCGCTTCGACGTGACGGAGCCCTTCCTCAGCGCCGAGGGAGGCCAGGAGGCCAAGATGTGCGTCAAGGCTGTCTGTCCGGAGGACGATGCCTGTGGGGCCTTGCGTTGCCCGCCTTTCTTGGCCACTTTGTGGCGCAGCGTGCCCAGGCCGGATGGCTAGGCAACAGGAAGGTGGATGGGCTCACTCCACGGCGGAGTACGATGCCTAGCAACTGTTGGGACTTGAGGGTGTGAGGGAAAGGGCACACAGACTGATATACGCACAAACACACACTCCAGTTCTGCCATTAGCACGTCGGAGGTAGTTTCCTGACAAACTTTACTTCAGTGTTCATTTCTGCTTGGCAGTGTCAAAGTTACGTCAAACAACGGAAGTAGATCTTAATATATATCTATATTCGTATATGCTAAAGGGAACGTCGAAGGAACCAAAGTATCAACCAAGAGTCTCCAGCATGGTACACATGGGTGCAATGATGCATTTTCATATCTTCCTCCGAGGCTCACAAAGCCTCTGAGCCCACGCTCAGTCTCTTTGCCCCCCTTGTCAAGAGGGTGGTTATCTTTTTCTCCTTTGAGATGTACAAAGAGCTGAAGGAGGAAGTTGGAAGAATGATGCTCTTTCCTGCTTCCTCTTTCAGCTCTACGTGCTTTCCTAAACTCAGATGAATACTACTGGTTCCAGCTTTCCTCCAGATCCCTCAGCAAATCAAAGACTGTCTCTGTGCACGATCTGTCTTGGGTGGGATATAGAGAAGTGACCAGAGTGGGTGGTGTCCACATGAGTCTAAAACGACTGGTGACCATTGGTATAAGCTAACAAGTAGGGATATACATCTATAGTATGCAAAGTGTCACTACTCCCAGGCTGCAACTTAAGGGGCTCAGCTGGGTGCCAGAGTAGGGTAAATGGCTCTAGCAGAGCTCCAGGTCCACGTGGTATGCTTAAACTTGCTGACACAACTACCTTAAATATGCTTCACCCGCACTGCCATCCAGCAAGTGGTGTGCTGTGGGCACCAGAAGCAAGTGGGAATGGAAGCTGCTGAAATAACAGCAGCTGTAGTCTGGAGGAAAGGCCATAGCTCGTTGCTGGAACATCTGCTTTGCGTGCAGAAGGTCCCAGATTCAATTCCTGGTATCTCCAGGTAGGGCTGGGAATACCCTCCACCTAAACCCCTGGAAAGCCACTGTCAGTCAGTGTATGCAATACTGAGCTAGATGGACCAATGACCTAACTCAGTATAAGGCTTCTTCCTACAGTAAGACAATGTGAAGCAGGTTTCTCTCTCCCGTGGCACCGCCTGGATGTCTGTACCGCACACTAAATACTTATAGATGTAAAGTTAAGATTTATCTTTTTCTTCAAGCTATGGGGATGACTGATGTTTTCTGCTGTTGGAATTTCTGTTTTATAATGTCCTTGGTTTTGTGATTTTTATATATTGATGTATTTTAATGGACTGTAGTTTACTGTCCTGGGAATTTTTGAATCGAAAGGTGGGTTACAAATCTAATAAAACATCATCATCCTAAATAATGATACAGCTCTCTCCCCTTTGACGGTAAATCCCCGAGTGGATGAGTGGTTGCCATGCCAGAGAAACTGGTCAATTGCCTTCCCTGGATGGGGTTGCACTACCCCTGAAAGGGTGGGTATGCAATCTAATTGTGCCTCTGGATCTAGCATTGTCACTAGAGGCCCAGACAACCTCAGTGGCTAGAAGCACCTTTTACCAGTTGCTACTGGTGTGACAATTACAGCCATTCCTGGACTTGGATAGCATGACCATTGTAATTCAGGCACTGGCGACTTCAATGTTAGGTTACTGTAATGTACTGTATGCGAGGCTTCCTCTGCGGTACATTCGGAAGCTGCAGTTAGTGCAGCATGCTGCAGCAAGGTTGCAGACAGGAGTGGGACCCTGCCTGCATATAATATCTCTGCTCAGAGATTTGCACAGATTCCCCATCTGCTAAGGACCAAGTTAAAGGAGTTACAGTGGTGCCTCGCAAGACGAAATTAATCCGTTCCGCGAGTCTCTTTGTCTTGCGGTTTTTTCGTCTTGCGAAGCACGGCTATTAGCGGCTTAGCGGCTATTAACGGCTTAGCGGCTTTAAGAAAAAGGAAACAAACTCGCAAGACGTTTCGTCTTGCGGAACGACTCAAAAAACGGAAAACCCTTTCGTCTAGCGAGTTTTTCGTCTTGCGAGGCATTCGTCTTGCGGGGCACCACTGTACTATCATTATATAATACTACTAGCAGCTTGGGACCAGTTTAGAAGCAGGATCACCTTACTTCATATATGCCTGCTCGACTGTTTGATCTGCGGAACTGGCACAGTAAAGGTACCACATATATGTTTTCCACACTTGGAAGAAATTGATCTTTTAGCAGCTATGCTTTGGAACTCCCTGCCTATTGACACCAGGCTGCGTTATTTGGGTACCCAAGGTCACCTCAGTGAGGACTGAGTGCAGATTCTAACTCCGGTCTCCAAGGTCCTGGTTCGACACTCTAGTCTAGCCCCTTCTTGGTAGTGGCACTCATCCTGTGCAATGCCCTCCCATCAGATGTCAAAGAAATTAACAACTATCTGTCGTTTAGAAGACATCTGAAGGCAGCCCTGTTTAGGGGTTTTTAATTACTGATATTTTAATATATTTTTAATATTTTGTTGGAAGCCGCTGGGAAACCCAGCCAGATCGGCGGGGTATAAATATATTATTATTATTATTATTATTATTATTATTATTACTACTACTACTATTACAGTGGTACCTCGGGTTAAGAACTTCGTTCTGGAGGTCCGTTCTTAACCTGAAACTGTTCTTAACCTGAGTTACCACTTTAGCTAATGGGGCCTCCTGCTGCCACCACGCCGCCGGAGCACGATTTCTGTTCTCATCCTGAAGCAAAGTTCTTAACCCGAGGTACTATTTCTGGGTTAGCGGAGTCTGTAACCTGAAGCATCTGTAACCTGAAGCGTCTGTAACATGAGGTACCACTGTATTATTTTTATTATTATTATTAAGCACCACACTGGTTTCCTGTGCAGTTATTCCTGCAGGGCTCGCCTGACCCTATCCCCATTTCGGAGCTCTATTTGCCCGCAAAATAGTCTCCTTCCCCAGCTGAAACTCACTTAGTGGGGTCTAGGCAGGAAGAAGGTCCATAAACAGCCCCGTCCCTTCGCTATCAGGAAAACAACGGGACCACCAGGAAAGGGGAGCGGCGTCCCAGTGGGATTGCTAAGAGTGCAACACCGAGGAAGCTGCGCTGGCGAATCAGCGCGGGGCCTTAGTAACATTCTCTTCCGGTGTCACACTCTAAAACGTCCGGCTCAACAGGGATTTCGGGACAGGACGAGCCTTGGGAAGTCCAGAGGCGGAGCGACTGTAGAAATGGCGTCTCCGGCGCGGGGTAACCACGTGTGGGTGGGGTCCGAGACGGGCATCCTGAAAGGTAATGGAGGGTCCGGGGCTCGACCGCTACTTGGGGTGGGATGTCTGTTATTCAGCGACGCTGGGGAAACGGAGAGCCTTGTCTGGATTTCGGGGGAAATAACTGAGGAGGAAGTGTGGGTAGATGCTGTTCCTAGTGTCAGGAGGGGGGGTGATGTTGCCCGCACCCTTACAACAAATTACGGTGCTTTGGGCTTCTGAGCATGTACAGAGTGCCTCTCCCCTTTCTGAGGCACGTTTTGAAGGAAGTACATTATAGGTAGTACATGTGAAAGAAGGGGAGGTGATGGGGAAGAGAGGATGGTTTCTTGGGTGGGGAGCGTATATGTGCAGACAATGAATGCTTGTTTGGAGGACGGAAAAAGTGGGATAAGCAAATGAACAGAAGAGGCTAGGCTATTCAATAGGCATTAGCCATAGTGGCTCAGTGGAACCTCCAGCTCTAGAGGGAGTATACCTAGGAATTTGCTGAGGACAAGCGACAGGGGAGGCTAGGCTATTCAATAGGCATTAGCCATAGTGGCTCAGTGGAACCTCCAGCTCTAGAGGGAGTATACCTAGGAATTTGCTGAGGACAAGCGACAGGGGAGGGCAATTTTCTTCATGCCCTGATTGTGAACTTTGTGGAGGCATCAAGGTTCACAAATGTTGAAACTGTGATCCGGGAATAGGTGCACTGTTGGTTAGGTCCAGCCCAGTTCATGGTATGCTCTTAATGGGTAGGGGGAGATAGGGGCACTGTGAATAAGGTCCCTAGACACAAAGGCCAGAGGAGATACAGAGTGAGTCTTATGTGGGAGGGGAATGCAGCAAAAGGCTTTTACATAAATACCTATCACTTACCAGTCTAGTAGCTGGATGCTGTTGCTGTGCCTTTAAAAGGGGCTTGATCAGCTAAGTCTTGTAAAGTGAGAATTCCTTTAAATAATTATTGGCTGGGACTGGTGGGAGTTGTAGTTCAGCAACATTTGGAGGGCCATAGGTTAGTCACCCCTGTTGTAGATCAAGTCCATGTAAAAGGTTACAGTGGCAGGAATGGTTGAGAAGTTGCCAAACCTGTGTCATAAGACTTAGCAGGAGGGAGCTAGATTAGAACACTGCAAGGAGCAGATAGAGGTCCACTAGCCCCTCAGCTTCCCCTTTCCTGGTGGTGAGTGACACAGGGAGAGTTTGTCATTGACCTGTTTCTCTTTTCCCCCTTCCCAATAATATCCCTTTCTTTCTCTTTTCTCCTCCTTCTAGGGATCAACCTGCAGAAGAAACAGGCCACAAACTATAAGTCAGGAGATGCGGTGCTCAGTCGACACGAAGCTGTTACTGCCGTGTGTTGGGGTGATCCCTATGAGTCTGAGGTAATGGGGTTGCCAACTCCTAAGGCAGCTGGCACAGTTTAGGGGACTGGATGCTGGGAAAGAAAAACAGGATACCTCACTGTATGGGAAGCTGCCTTATAGTGGGTTGGACTGTTGGTCCCTCTAGCTCAGTATTGTCAAAAAAAAACAACCACAACCTTCCCACAAACCCATTTAAAAGGGTGTAGAATATTAATCAGCCAAAGGCCTAGGTAAAGGGAAATATTTTCACTTGGAGCCTAAAGATGTATAGTGAAAGACAAGCCTCCCTCACAGCTCCTTGTGCATAAGATCTATTCATCTAAGCCATGGGGGAACACTAACAGAAACTTTCCTGAAGACCTCAGAGTTTGAGCAGGGATCATGCAGTGCCTGAAGTATCCTGGACTCAAGTAGTTGAGGATCAGTACAAGAACGTTGAACCTGACCAAGAGTCATGTGGGCAGCCAGTGCAAGCATTTGGGCACTGGAGTTACGTGCTGGTGATAGTCTATTACCACCAACAGTCTAGCTGCAGTGTTTTGCACCACCCGGAGCCTCCGGAACAGGCCCAAGGGTAGCCCCACGCAGAGCACTTTGCAGTAATCAAGTACTGAGGTTACCAATGCATGAATCACTGCGGCCAGACTATCTCTGTCTAAGAGTGGTTGTAGTTGGCATACCGGCCATAGCTGTAAAAGGCCCTCCTTGCCTTTACAGAGTCTTCCTTGTATTGTCTTTTGTGACTGGCAGCTTCTCTCCAAAAGCTTTTCCTACCCCCTGCACTTGAGGGCATTGTAACTGGCAATGGCAGAGGTTTGAACCTGGGACTTATTTTTGCATACATTCTCTAACTGAGGTGCAGTCGCTTCTCTGAAAGAATGCAGCCAGGGAGGTGCACGTTTGTTTCTTAATAGTTTCTGCTTTCTTTCCTCTTGTTTCTTCCCAGATCTTTGTGGGATGCCTTGATGGATCAGTCAGATTGTTCAGTACTGAGAAGGGCAAGTTTACTGAGTCACGAGACTGTCTAGGAGGCGAGGGACCCTTTTGTGGCTTGGCTGTGCTTG